TATAGACTAGGCTCTAAGGAGGAAGGAAAGTACAAAGCTGGTACTAGATTAAACTTAATTAAGGAGGAATCTGATGGTTAGCTGTCAGCTTAGGCTTCTCTTGCCCTGTCCTCCACCTCTGTGGCCCAGTGGCTGGTTCACTGTGGCATGTTTTATCTGCTGGTGTGTCTCTGAGAGGGTTACTGGAGCTGCCCAGAGCACGTGTCCTGCCCAGCTTGACCTTTCCCAACTGTGGGACATTACACCTTGTTTAATTCCCTGTTGCTTCTCTGTTTGGTGCATCCAGTTGCAGGAACCTTGTAAAGCCACATGAAAGATGTGTCCTGTATCCAAAGTGATGTGTCCTCGAGTTTCTTTTTCTGCCTGTTTGGGGAAACCTCGTTTGCACGTGCAATTCATTAGGCAAATAATTTACATATTGCTGTCATACCTTGACCACACATGTGATACGTGAAGAGTACAAATAACAGATGTAATTCAGCAAAAATATCCTTAATAGTTAAATCATCTGGTGAGCAGGCTAGTGAGAGCCAGGCTGGGGGAGCTCTGAGGCAAAGGTAGGAGCTGCTCTGTAGAGCTCTGCTATAACCCTTTGAATTTCTAGGAGGTTACTGGCTTGTTGGGTTTTTAACAGTATTATTTATTAAAACACATTTGGGCACCAAAGCTCAAGCAGTGGAAGTCCACAGGGCCCGGGGTTTGACACAAGGGAGCCTGGCTGGGAAGGGTGACTTCTCCCTGGTTCCTGTGGATGTTTTCTGTCCCTCATTCCCCTCTGCCCTTGAGCTCCCCCTGTGAGCTCCTCCCGACGAGAGTTTGTTGCCTCTCCCAGCCCGTGGAGAGCCTTTCCTTCCCCTGATTGGGGAGTTTGTTTTGCAGAGGGTGAGGTTTGGAGTCGGGAAAGTTTACGCTCTTTTTCTCTCTTTCTTTTTTTTTTGTTTTTTATTGTAATGATGACATATGGAAACTATTTACACAGGAGCATGCTCTGCTGCACTGAATGGAAATGCTGGAGTCCCGGCAGTATCGTTCCGGATGCCTTGTGTAAGCAGCCAGCTGGTTTTGCTTTTTCTTTTCTTTTTTTTTTTTTTTGCCCCCCTCCCTCGCTCCCTTTTCAGGGAACGTCTGGGAGAAGTTACACAAGTGTGGAAGTGAAGCTTTGCCATCTGCAAACAGCTCAGCTCGTTTCCTTTATCGTGCCCCTCGTACCGTGAACTTCACAAATCTCTTTTCTTTTTTCACTGGGGTGAGGGGAAGGCTCCTCGCTGTGACTCCTCAACGCTCTGACTCCTCTCCCGGGGGCAGCTCGTGTCTGCCTCTGAGCCAGTCCTGCTATATGCCAAGATAAGCGAGCGTGGCACCCGCAGCCCTGCTCTGCCTCCACGCTCCAAACTCACGCTGGGAAACGTCCCGCCAGCGACGGGGGGAACGACTGAGCTGAAGTCTGAGCCACCTTCCTCGGAGGGGAGGGGAGGAGAGAAAGCGTTTGGCTCTGCAGACGGCAGAGGCAAAGCTTCCGAGCGGAGCTTTCCCTTGAGGAAGCTGTGAAAGTGAGGATCGGGGGGAAGGAGGAACTTCAGCTCTGCCTCCTTCTCCCTCTCCCCAGCCCGGCGCAGAAGCAGCGGCCGGTTCCCGAGGCGGCGGCGGCTGCCATGCGGTGGAGAGAGCCTCCTGCCATCTACTTGGAGGACGAGGGGAGCCCCGTGGAGAGACCCTCCTATCTCATTGAGCTCCTTACTAATGGTAAACGCCGTCGGGGACGTGCTGCAGCACGAGCGGAGCCCAGCCTGCATTAGTCTGTGTCATTGTTATCAGGGGAGCAGCTGAGGAAATTAGCTAGCTGGAGGGCTGCCAAACAAACAGTCAGAGGGTCGCTTTTCAAATGTAGTATTATTTTTATTATTATTTATTACCCAGATGATGCCGTTGCCTCAGGGATGCTAGATCAACCTTCTGGTACCTGATGGGGGAAGGAGCTGATCCACAAAATGCGGCTCCCCACCGGAACGCTCCACCAGGACATTTGCTCTTCTCTGTGCTTAGAAAGATGAGGTCTGGTTTAGGCAGGAGGAAAGCATCTTGGTTTCTAGGGTTTTTTTTGTTGTTGTTGTTTCTGATTTGCATCTTCGAGTGCTGTGTTTTATTCGCATGCTGGATCTCGCTGGGACATCTCTTCTGTTTCAGCTGCCAGTCCTCTCTGTGAAACCCTGAGAGGGGTCCTGGGTTTTACTGTGATGGAGCTTTTCCTAGCATTGATCCTTTGCAAGGAGAAGTTGGTCTTTGTGAAAGATCTGTTTCAGGGTTCAAGGTTGTTCTGGCATGTTTTGGTAGGGTACCGTGGTTTGTTTAATGCTACAAACCTCTGCTGATTTGACCACAGTATGTTTTAGTGTTCTTAATTTTTCTATATTTTTTAATGCTCCAGTAAGATTGTAATATTATAAGCAGTCTGCTTAATATATCCTTCTTCCCCCAAAGAGCTTGTGCAGCCGAGGTGTTGATTCTGTGCTTTTTCAGTATCCCCCAGACTGTGTGAGATGAATCATGCTCAGTTTCTCTGAACACTTGCTATGTTTTGAAGGTGAGTTCTGGAAGGCCTGAAACTCCAGCTCCTGTTGGCACCTTCAGAGACATTGCTGGTTTGAGCATCTTGCAGCCTTTAGACTATTGGTTCAAAGGCCAGCAACTCCAGAAGACCTCCATCCAGATCTGTGGATAAATGAAATCTCTATCATTCATTTTTTTTTTTTTCAAGAACTGTGTTCATTCAAGGTGTAAAAGGGGGTGTGGGGGAGGAATCGGCCTCGTTCAAACAGTCGTCCAGATTTTGAGTGGTATTTTAAGGATGTGGGGGAAGCAAGGGAGAGAAACAGGCTTAAATGCTGCCGGATTCTCACTGATCTGAGTGTGCAATCTGGAAAGTCTTCACAAATCCCAGATAAATGTGATCTTGTTTTGATCTGAGGGTGGAAAAGGCAGCTGTGGCTCTGCGTTGGTGAAGGGGTTTCTGGTTTCTTCCTACTCCCTGCTCTTCTGCCAGCAGCACGTGGTGCCTTTTCTCTTGGTGGGTGCAGAGTTTTTGGCATGGAGCCTCTCCCCACTCTAGAGGGTGTTCTGGAAAGACCGAATCAGTAATTCAGTGAGGATTATTTTGTCACAGCAAAGAGATGCAGCAAATCTTCAGCATGCTGTCAGGAGGGAGGAAAAGAACCTCACTGTGATTTTTTTCCCCCACCCTCAGATAACTTCTCATATGACAGAAAAAGCTACAGCATCTCAGCTTCTCTGCTCATAAAAAGGGGGAAATTGGCACATTTGCACTGGCAAGATCAATTTTAGATGTACCCTCTTTGGGAACATGAGGGGCTGGAGGAGGGTGGTCTCTACTGAGAGCAAGAACAGCCATGTGGTTTGGATAATGATTGAAACTCTGGAGAACTGAGTGCCTGGCCAGCTCCACCACAGGTTTCATGCATGGCCCTAAGCAGGTCTTGCTTTTATGGTGTCTCTGCTCAGTATTCTTTGTCAAACACCCAAAATAAAAATCCCAGCCCCAGAAGAAGCCTGGTGTCATTCCCTTTTTTGAGCAATAGTTGTCTTTATGCATGTTTTCCCTGTCTTAGTAGCACTGAGGCTGCAGGCTGGGAAAAAAAAGGCAATTATGGAGTTTATATACATGCCCTGCATACTCTCCCATGGGAAGGGCACTGTGTGTGTGTAGCTGTGCTTGGGAGTTGCTTTTTGCAATTGAATTGTGTTTTTTTAAGTGAGATCTTGAGTTATGAAACCTGGTACAAACATTCTATAAAGCGTTGGTTTATGGTGCTTTACTGGTGAGAAGGACACACTCTTAGAAGTTCCAAAACTGAGCTATGGGATATGAAAAGAAAATTAGAATCTTGCTGTTTGTTTTCATCAGAGGGGGATTGGTACTTCTCTGCATCCAAAGGGTGTTGCAAAGATGTGTTGTGTAATGACTCTGAAGAGCCCTGAAAAAATGAGGCTTTCTGCTAAAAATACTGAGTGCTGCTATTGTGGAATCATAGAATGGTTTGGATTGGATTGGAATGGACCTTAAAGATCATCTAATTCCAACCCCCCTATCATGTGCAGGGACACCTCTCACTAGACAAGGTTGCTCAAAGCCCCATGCAACCTCACCTTGAACCCTTCCAGGGATGGAGCACCCACAGCTTCTCTGGGTGATCTGTTCTGGTGTCTCACCACTATCACAGCAAAGAACTTCTTCCTTATATCTAGTCTACATCTACCCTCTTCCCCTTTGAACCCATTCCCCCTTGTTCTATGACTTCAAACCCCTGTAAAAAGTCCCTCAGCTTTTTTGTAGGCCCCCTTCAGATACTGGAAGGCCATGATGAGGTCCCCCCGGGAGCCTCCTCCAGGCTGAACAGCCCCAACTCTTTCAGCCTGTCCTTGCAGGAGAGGTCTTCCAGCCCTCAAATCATCTTCGTGGTCCTCCTCTGTTGGAGTGCAGAAGCTGTACAGTGCACTGACTGGCTGCCCTTGCCTGTGGTAGTCCTGTGCTCCCTCCTTCTGCTCTCTCTCCTCCCACTGTGTGTGAAAGGCAGCGTTCCTCCAGCAAGCCCACTTGTGTTTTGTGGGTTGGACATCCTTGGAGCCTTCCAGCTGGTAGCTGCCCGTTTGTAGTCCGTGAGTGCTAGTAGCATGCTCCAAACATGACAGCACAGATCTCCTGAGCCAGGAGACCTGCTTATTGTATTAAATAGGCTGCTGTTTCTTTTCATGATCTTCTGGGAGCATTCCCTTGTTGAAGAGCTGAGTCTGAGTGTGTCTCCTCAGAGCTCCTACGTGAGAAGAGTCGATCTGTCTGTGTACAAGCCACCAGTTTCCCAAGTACCTTGCCACCTCTTGCTGCTGGTCTCTAGTCTGAGTGCCTGGCTTGTTCACCTGCCTCCTGATCAATCTCAGCTTGCTTAATTGTCAATCAATCAATCAATTTGCATGTTCTTGCACTGCAGATGGAGGAAGCTACGCCGTTGGTAACGATGCCTCCAGCCCTGCTGCGGGGGACTGCTCCACCCGGCACAACTGGGAGATGAACTACCAAGAGGCAGCAATCTACCTCCAGGTCAGCCCTGCTCCTTGCTCTGGAAAACAGGCTGCTGAAGCCAGGGCAGCTCTTGGTTGTGAGAAACAGCTTCTGTTTTGAGGTTAAATCTTCAGTGCTTTGCAAAGGAAGCTGCTTGAGGAGTGGGGAGATAGTGGAAGTGTCTTCAGATGGGCTCTGGCAAGTTATTTGGGAGCAACTGAACTAGCTACCCATCCTCTCCCATCTCTCACAGTGTCAAGGACTGTAGCAGTTGAGGGCTCCAGCACATGTTCAGTCCTGCCACCTTGCCATGGGCTTTTCAGTAACTTGTCATAGATGGTCATTTCATCTCTCCAGTCACTCCAGGGTGAATGGTCCATGGTCTCCTGGAGACATCTCGTGTTCTCAAAACATGGGTCCTAATCCTGCCTTGGCCACAGATTTGGTGGGTGGCCCTGGGATGTCTGTTTAGCATCAGTCAAGCTCCGCAGGTCATGTAAGACACAAGAGAAGGCAGAGGTCTTGACTTCTGCAGGAAGGGAGCGTGCTGAGGTTAGGGCCAACCCTGCAGTGAAATTTACTGTGTTTAAAAAGAATAATGAAAACAAAAGGCAACAAACAAACCAACCCCACCCCTGCTCCAGGTACAGGAATCCACTATTACTTGAACAGAGGAGTCATATTTTTAAGATTGCTGTACAGCCTGGTGTGGCAAATTTGCTGCCAACATGAGCTTCTCCCAGAGCTGTCCAGTCTGAAGTAGCTGCTAGTTCCCTTACTGTCCTTCCTTCCTCCTCCTCTTCGTTCCCTCTCAAGGGCTCTGCATTGCAGTTGGAGATGTTTCAGATGTCAGGTTTTTTTTCCTGAAGTCACTGCAAGGTGATTGAAACCATTTGTTCCTCCCTGCTCCTACCCCCCAGGACTAAGTATGACTTCCCTGACATTTTAAAAGCGGGTAGGCTGGGACCTTGATAACGCTTCAGCTTCCTCGTGTGCTAGAGCAGCACTGACAGTGTAGCTCCAGCCCCTCCCGGGCCTTTGTTTAAACTCCTGATTATTGGAGCTGCTCTGCAAAGGGTCATTGAGCTGCCGCGGTGGCTGATGGCAATGCACACAGCAGGCTTAGCCCTTCAGATGCAGATGATTCTTGCTGCTGCCTTGACCAATGGTCATGATGACAATGTCCTTGAAATGAAGTAGGCGTCACTTAAAGAGCATGCAGATTGTTTATTTGAACCAGTAGCTGCAGGCAAGTGTCTTATCTCCACGAGAGGACTTTGCTGTCCAGCAACGTTTGGAATTGCTTGGCTAGGGAGAGGCAGAATTCAGACTGTTTTTCATTCTGAGTGTGTGTTGTGAGGCGTGAATAAGAACGCCCTGCTGATCTCAGCTTGGGGGGGGGGCAGCTTGGGTTTTATGGAGCTTGCTGCTGGGTTTTGTCCTGCTCACAATCTGGCTGGCTGACCCGACAGCCTGTGTTTGTCTCCTCTTCAACAGAATGTGAGATGAGTAAATGAGAAACGTTTGAAACCCTCTTCTGAATTAGGCTCGAGAATGCTTCACCTCCAGAGGAGATCCTCTTTCCTGACCTTGTTATCCAGTTGCAATCACAGTTACTCTGCTTTGATAGTAGTAGCTTACTGGCCTTACAGAAATTGCTTACCTGGAAAGATACTAATTAAAAAAAAAACAAACAAACAAACACCCAGCCAACAACTTCTTGTGCATTTGTGTGTCCCAGCTGGGGAAAAACAGTTTGCAAGAGGCAGCAAGTTTCCTGTGAGTGACAAAGGCTCCCTTGCTTAAACCACTGGCTCAAGAAAGAGAAGCTCTTGGGTGGTTCTGCATAAAAAACCTCTAAATTCTCCCCAGATTAAATTTCTTCCTAGAGGTAAAAATAGTAATGATGTAGCTGTTTAAAAATCAGTTGTAGGCAAACTGTTAAGATGGAGCATCTGACCTTTTAATGTTAATTAAGCTTTCTAGTTAAGAGGGAGTGACAAATCAGCGTAAAGACCTGTTAATTTTTCATGGGGTCTGTCTCCTCACACTCCTGAAGCAGAAAACCCTGTGTGTGCTCCCTGTTTTCTCCAGACATTTTGCAAGGCCAAGATAAGGAGGAGCAACTGTCAGCCAGGTGCCCTGGAGCTTATCTGTGTGTTTTCGTGTTCTGTCCTGGAGAAATTCAATCCAAAAAATCTGTAAACATGTGCAAGTGGTTGCAAGTAAATGAAGTGCTGTGTTTATGTTGGGATGTTGACTAAAATTTCATTGCCTGCCTTAATAAACTCTTCCTCATTTTGAAAAGGCTCAAGGGTTTCTGAAGCAGGAGTTTGTGGATATTAATGAGTTTCATTACTGAAATATGCTTATGAACAGAAGGGGCTGTCCCATGTGTGCAGAGTTCATTCCTCAAGAAACAGATCAATACTGGGCTGTAAAGTAGGAAGAGTCTGTTGGGAATTGTATCTAATCCTTAGGAAAGTCTGCTTCCTTCACGTGGAAGGCTCTGTTACAGCACTGAGACACACTAATGCTGTT